GCAGATCAGCGGTTTCAGTTTGTTTATGTCGGGTCCTCGCCTCCTCCGGCCGGAGAAAGTGCAGCCGGGACGAACAGCCGGAATCCAGGAGCCGCCGGACACAGCAGGGTCGTTGGTACGATCCGATGGGGCAGCAGATGGTGCAGCTGTTGAACCCGGGTTGGTTTTGGTTTGCTGGATACGGTTGGAAACACCGCAGCTGGGCGCGCGCTCGCTGCACGCCTCCGACCCGATGTTCTGCAGCAGGCAGGACTCCGCGAGGCATCCAGGTGGAGAAACCTCAGTTCGGTGGACAGCTGTAGCTGAGGAACGAGCGAGGCTAGCTTTGAGCCTCACGAGGTGGACAGCACGTCTCCCACGGCGACGAGAGCGATGTTTTCGTGCAGGCACGAATGCCGCGCGCTGGAGATACCCAGGTACGTTCCCAAGCAGCCGAGGTGGGGGCCCAGAACCCCGATCAAAATGTTCATAGGAAATGAAAGAACCAGATCCTGGATACATGCGGCCAAAATGAGCTTCCTTCGTAACGTGGTTTGGCTCTGCCTTAGAGAGAGTTTTAAGAGCTCCCATTATCTGGGAGAGCTTGGAGTAGAGCAGCTGCTTCTCTGCATCAAAAGGAGTCGGTTAAGGAGGTTTAGGCATCTGAACACGACCTCCTGGACATCTCCATTTGGAGGCGTTTCAGGCACGTCCCACTGGGAAGAGACCCAAGGGCAGACCCAGAACTTGTTGTAGGGATTGTGTATCCCCTCTGGCCTGGAAATGCATCGGGGTCCCCCAGAAGAAGTTGGAAAGCGTTGCTTGGGAGAGGGATGTCTCTCCTGGGTCGGTCTCCTCAATGACTCGACCACCGACAAGCCGTAAATGAGGGAGATGTTATTTCTTGATTTATTTGTTTTAATTATGAAGTCAAGACCTTTTTTTAAATAAAAGCACTGATGGTGAGCAAGCCAGTAGTCAAACCTATAATCTTCTGATAAACAACTTGAAGGAAGCAATTTGCATCCCTGTAATTTATTTATTTTTGTATTTCCAGGACAAAGTATATTACCCAGTTTCCTAATTTGCTTGTTCTTTGTCCCTTCATGCAGATCACCATTGGTGTTGCCTACAAGGAAATGGAGCGTAAGGGTTCTGATGACAAAAGCCGTCTGGGCCACAACGCCCAGTCCTGGAGCCTGTACTGGTCTGGAACCGGCTTCTCCTTCTGGCACAACAACCAGGAGAAACTTCTGGGCTCACCCAAAGCCAAGAGGATTGGCATCTATCTGGACCAGCACACAGGGATTCTGAACTTCTACAGCATCGTCAACAAACAAGCGTTTCTTATCCATCATCATGAGACCCAGTTCCACGGGCCGCTGTACCCAGGATTCAGGATGTGGGCAGGAATTGGTGACACAATGACTATTTGCCAACTAGACTGAGTTACAGAGAGATGATCGCTGTTCGAATATAACATTTAGAATGACGTAACACTTTAAAGTCTTTACATGTCTTCTAGCTCTCTGATGCAGAGACATAAACATTCAGGGATGTGCGGTTTACGTGCAGTATGGTAATCTTCTTTTTGTGATGTAAATCCTTATAATTAAATAAGCATTATAAATATGTGCTGTATTTTGTTTTTGTTGAATGACCTGACTTGATTTGAAGTCTAAGCTTTTTAGACCATTTTGGTACAGTGTCACGTTTTGTCAAAATTCACTGTGCTGTGAGTTTTATCGTACTTGTTCATCCGACTGCCGGTCAGTAGAGCCAGAGTTTTCACTGAGATCAGAAATTTCATCTTAAAATTTTGGGGATTTTGGGCTTGAGACAACCATCAAATTTAAATTTGCATCTTACACTTCACTTTTGAGGTAAATAGAATAAGAACATAAAATAATTTACCGGTAGACAAAATTATAAAATGTGTTTGCAACAACACAAACCTGATCAAAGGAGTGCTACATGGTAACCTATGAAAGAAAAATGTGTACAATGTCAAAAGAACTTAACAGAAACATGAGAATTAAATAATGTTAACTTCTCCCTCTGACATTCAACATGGTACAGCCCAGCTAGTCCATGATCTGTAGATGTAATGCAGCTGGGGCTCTTTACAGCAAGTGGCAGGGCAACTACAGCACCATCTTCAAACTGGCAACGCAAAGAAACAAAAGCTAAATCCATTGCAAATGAAAAAATAAACTGTGGCAAGACTTGGCAAATGTGTGCACTTCAAATAACCACCATATCAAATGTGTTAAAATATAGAAACTATTTACATGTCCAATTATTTAACAAGGGTAAATTTGTGTATATTTACAATCAAGCAACAAAAACAAGCAATGATACCAAAATTGTGGCCACACACTCTTTACTGTGTGGCTCCAGGGGCGGCTGTCACACAACTAAAACAAAAGAAAAGTGTTGCATCACAAATGGATGACTGCTGAGTTTTGATCGTGTTTATGTTGACGATGCTGAAGTGAAGTGTCCAAAAGTTCGCTCAACTTCTGTTGGACTTCTTCTGTAGCTCCATGTTGAGTTACTTAGAAGAATGTCAAAGAGAAACTAGCTGCAGTCAACCTTGATCACTAAGAGGTACACTGCCTGGCCAAAAAAAAAGTCACCACCAAAAAAAAGTCACACTAATATTTTGTTGGACCTCCTTTAGCTTTGATTACATCATTCATTCGCTGTGGCATTGTTTTGATAAGCTTCTGCAATGTCACAAGATCTATTTCCATCCAGTGTTGCATTAATTTTTCACCAAGATCTTGCATTGATGACCAGGCACTAGGCATGATGGGTGCATCACTTCACCTGCCTCTCTTCTTACCCTGATGCACCCATCACTCTGGACTCATCAGACCACGTGGCCTTCTTCCATTGCTCCAGAGTCCAATCTTTATGCTCCCTAGCAAATTGAAGCCTTTTTTCCAGTTAGCCTCACTGATTAGTGGTTTTCTTAAGGCTACACAGCTGTTCAGTCCCAGTCCCTTGAGTTCCCTTTGCATTGTGTGTGTGAAAATGCTCTTAGTTTCACAATTACACATAGCCCTGAGTGTTACTGTTGTTTTTCTTCTATTTGATTTCACCAAACGTTTAAGTGATCGCTGATCACCATCATTCAGGATTTTTTTTCTGGCCACATTTCTTCCTCGAAGACGATGGGTCCCCACTATCCTTCCAGTTTTTAATGTTGCGTTGGACAGTTCTTAACCCAATTCTAGTAGTTTCTGCAATCTCCTTAGATGTTTTCTCTGCTTGATGCCAATCATTTGACCCTTCTCAAACAGAATGACATCTTTTCCACAACCATGTGATGGGTCTTTCAACATGATTGTTTAAGAATGAGAAGCAACTCATTGCACCTGTTGGGGTTAAATAACTTGTTGCCAGCTGAAAGATAATCAATCAACCTTTATTTATACAGGTAAATCCCATTGAGCCTCGAGGACTCATTTACAAGAGAGACCTGATTTCAACAAAGAAAGATGACAACAATGGACAACAGCAACAACAATAA